CTGAAGGATTTTAACTACAGTTTGTGGACTTGCTAATATATTTATCAATCATACTTGCATTTACAGATATATCAAGTGACAATATCTAAAAGAAATATTAAGAACATCTTTATGATCAATGAAGTCTGCATCGTGGTTCTGGTCATCTTCTGCTTCATCCGGTACGGGTCGTGGGGCAGCAGTCTCAGCAGAGACTCCCAGACTTTCCTTTCCACAGACACCTCCTCCAGCTCTGCTGGGGGAAGCCCGGGCGCCCCCAGACATGGGCCCCTTCCTCTGGGAGGAGATCCCCAAGGTTGAGAATCATTGCCCTGGATGAGATGAAGCACCCCGGTGCAGCTGTAGGTCTTGGAAGGAGGAAGCCAGCAGAACCCCGTCATCTGCAAAAAGCAGTGATGAAATCTGCTGGTCCCAGAACTAGACCCCCTTCTTGCTTTAGCTTGGCCTAGAAATCCTGTCCATAGTGGTTCTGATCGGGACTGGTGACCGAGGGCAGCCCTGCTGGTGTCCAAAATGCAGTGGGAACAGATCTGACTTAATATCCGTAATACGGACCAAACCCCACCCCTCCTCCTGAAGCGGAGGTGCCTCCATCAGCTGGACTCTCATCTCCAGCACCCTAGCATAGGCCTGAAGGGAGGCTGAGGATAGTGATCCCCTGTAGAGGGAACACACCCTCTAGACCCCCTTCTTCTGCACCCCGGTCTGTCCCAAACCACAGTCCTCCCAATTACGCCAGGAGTCGCTGTCATTTACTACATGAGGTCATGATAGAAACCTCAGGAAGGGGGCTATCCAACCTGAACCTGGTTATTAAAATATTTAATTAACACAGGCAGAGGCTACGTTAAATGTGGAGGTTTTCTGTAAATTCAGAGTGATTGTCAATGTTCTTACCAAGCACCTTGATCAGATGGATCAGGGAGTTCAGCTAGTTTATCAGATTGTAGCTGAGATGGAGTGAAAGCAGCCCAGATTACTGCAGGCTCCTGTTCTCTGGGTCTCCTCTGTCAGCGTCTCCTCCCCACCATCACTGATCCAAGACCTGCCCGCTCCTCATGAACTCATCAATGCACAGTAGGGACCAGCCCCCCCGTTACTCCTTCATCCTCTGACGTCCTAAACAGCTGCTTTAAAATCCGTTCTGAGCATAGCTCAGTTTGCTAACTGCTACATTTTGAGATTAGAGGAAACATTTGGTCTCAGTTCCTGATCATCAGATGTTAGAGTTGGGGATATTTCCCTGACATTAGTGTCAGGGATATTTCCCAGACTTTGGAGTCGGGGATATTTCCCAGGAGTCGGGGATATTTCCCAGACGTTGGAGTCGGGATATTTCCCAGGAGTCTGGGATATTTCCCTGACATTGGAGTCAGGGATATTTTTCCAGACGTTACTGTCAGAGATATTTTCCAGGATTCAGGAATACTTCCCAGGAGTCAGGGATATTTCCCAGGAGTTGGGGATATTTCCCAGGAGTTGGGGATATTTCCCAGACGTTGGAGTCGGGGATATTTTCCAGGATTCAGGAATACTTCCCAGGAGTCAGGGATATTTCCCAGGAGTTGGGGATATTTCCCAGACTTTGGAGTCAGAGATATTTTTCCAGACGTTGGAGTCTGGGATATTTTCCAGGATTCAGGGATATTTCCCAGGAGCCGGTTATATTTCCCTGACATTAGAGTCGGGCATATTTCCTAGGAGTCGAGGATATAGTTAGATATTAGTGGAGCAGCAGTCAGTTAACAGATCTAGGGCTCATTTATGGAAAACTGTTTCTATCTAAAGCCAGACATACTTATCCAGTTTACAGCTGCCATTCATGGTTCTGCTTGGAGAAGGTAAAAAGTTGTGTGTAAAGCATGGAGTATAGTTTTAGAGTATTTTGTCAATCAAGTGGAATGGGTTCTATGTGGACAAAGACTTATTGACCATGTGTGGCAGACATGGGTGTCTAAGATCACTTCTTCTCCTTCTTCCCCTCTTTCATGCTGTGGTGTCTGAATGCAGGAAGGTAAGAAAGAAAGAAGAAACAGTCTCTTCCAAGGTAAATGTTGCATAGATCTAAAGCTTTGCAAATGTTCTGCTCTGTAAAGAAGAGGTTGCTGCCATTGAGGTGGACGCCTCCCAGGAGCTGTCCGTCAGTAAGCTGCTGGAGCGAGCCAACAGAGACCGCAGTAGGTCCAGACAGCTGTGACCCGTTTACACGTGGTTGAACCACTGTGCTCTCTAACCTCACTCTGTCTTTGTCTCACAGCCCCAGATGTTGATGAACCCTCTCTAATCGGCGGAGATATCGCTTTGAAGCCCGAGGCAGAAAGGAATGCTGACCCCTGCACCTCCAGAGGATGCCTCTGGTTGAAATACACAGATGGAAAAGTCTACATCCCCTACTACATCGCCAACCACTACTGTAAGCATCAACTCCCTATCAGAGACTCATAGTCAGATATGCTCCTAGTTCACCTTGTGGTCGCTGACTCCTACCTGACCACAGCTTACCGTGAGAGAGAGATCATTGTCCGTGGGCTGGAGTCCTTCTCTGCGGTTTCCTGCATCCGTTTCCGGCCCTACCAGAACGGTGATCACGAATGGTTGAGCATTGAATCCAGGAACGGGTATGACTCTTTTCTTTTTTCTTCTTTGATGCCATTTTACGGCTGGTAGAACACAGCTCTGGTGGATCGCTGTGTCCATCTATTGAAAAGCGCCCCGGTGCTGCTTACTACGTTAGCATGTCCGTGTGTTTGCAGCTGCTACTCATACGTGGGCCGTCAGGGTGGGGCCCAGACGGTGTCTCTGAGCCGACAGGGCTGCCTGTACCACGGAACCGTCCAGCATGAGCTGCTCCACGCCCTGGGCTTTAACCATGAGCAGACCCGCTCAGACAGGGACAACCACATCAGGGTCCACTGGGACAACATCATCGACGGTTCGTCATTGCTAAACTCTTCCTGCCACTGATGTCCTCCTGTCTCCAAGTCTCAGGTCTTCAGCCTGAACTCAACCTGACCATCTGTCCTCTGCAGACATGGAGTACAACTTCTATAAGATCGACACTCTGAACCAGGGAACGCCTTATGACTACAACTCTGTTATGCAGTATGAGAGGTGAGACATGAGCTTCGTTCAATACCAGATGGTCCCATGTCCCAGTACAGCGAGCAGCCGTGTTTAGGCTAAGCTAACGCTAATGCTATCTAACGGCTGATGTGTTAGCAGTCTGTGATTTCTGATGATTTTGGTTGATCGGCTTTCTCTGTGATCCCACCACTCCTCAGGTACGCCTTCTCCAAGAACAACCTCCCCACCATGGAGCCCATCCCAAACAGCAATGTGTCCTTCGGCCAGGCCACACAGATGAGCCAAAATGACATCACCAGGCTGAACAGACTCTACCAATGCTGTGAGTCTGAGGGAGAAGGGAGGAAACGCTTGTTGGATGAGTTCAGAAACGTCAGCGAAGGCGGAGCTGAGCTCGTTCCACACTCTGACAGTATTAAATGAATCTTTTATCCTCAGAAAACCAGTTGGTCTAAGCTTAAAATCATCTGTTTCCCTGCAGAAGCTGCAGATCCGGACCTTCATCCAACAGGCTGAGGAAAGAGCTGGGCCTGATGGGAGTTTGGTCGCTAACTCCAGTAGCATCGCATGTTGACTGGTGTCCAAAGAGAATACAAAATAATATTAAAGAAAAATTCACAAACTGATCAGAGCTTTGTTCATTTGGAGTGAAAAGTTTGGCTGAGGAGTCAGACGAGAGGAGGAAGCCATCATGGCCGTTCATCATAAAACCAGTGTAGGTACCAGATCTGCTGTGGTCCTGCTTCATGCCAGCGACGTTACGCTATATGAGTGGCTGAATGTAAAACAATGTGGTTGCCCAGACAACGATAATAACATCACGCAGCATCAGTGTGCCGAGTCGGGAGCATCTGTAGCTGTTAGTACCATTTTTCTGTTCAGTAATTTACGCCCATATTTGGTTATTAGTTTTGGATATGTTTAGTATTTGCATATTATAGAATATTTACGATTGCATTATAACTGCATTAGTGGTTTACAGTGTTAATAATTTCCTTCTAGTTTAATCTGCATTCAGTTTAATGCTTAGAATTATTTTGAATGGAGAGTCAATGACGCTGAGCGATGATGTTTTGGGAGCTCGCATGTCTCTGGAATGTAAAAAAAAAACAACCTTGTGTGTTTGTTGCTTCTGGAAATAAAGACGGGGCGAACACACTGTTTTCTACCATCGTTCACTTTAACACTTGTAGACTCATTCATTCCATCTGACTGAGTGGTTATTTGCATTCATCTGTCGTAGTTATTTTTGTCTTGGTAAAATAGAAATGAGGGAATAATTAATGTTAAACTGTAAAATAAGGACAGTTTCAATTTTCTGTGGCTCATTCTTCCCCCTAACCTGTTTTCAAAACAAAGCAGGAGTTAAATGTGTTAAAGTTAATGCACAGCTTTTAAATTGGGAATAAAGGGGATTGATATAAGGTTCAAATATCACAACAAATAAAGTTTAATGAGACAGATTTAAAAAAAAAATTTTTTAAATCAAATGAACAGATTTTACTTGTTTAACAATAATTGGGCATTTCTTCAAATAATCAAGGACCTGTGTCATTATTTAAATGCTAAAGTTTAATTTATTAACCTTAATTCTTTAAGATTTGGATTAAACTTTCAGGGTAAATAAATCTATATGTGAGTAGCAC